CCTTTTTTTTTTCCATTTCCAGAGCCAAAGAATGCAGTAAAACTTTCAGTAACAGGTACTTCTTATCAAACCTGATTTACAGAGTGCTCAGACTTTGCAGCGTTTGTCCTCGCTTTCCGCCAGTTGGCAAGCCTGCCCGAGTATTTCACTTTTACGATTTTTATTCTTCGTTCGCGCGTGGCCGAGAGACTTAACCGAGCGGTGGATCCGTGAGATGCCCAGAGCCCTCCCCTGCCAGCCGGCGGGCTGCGGGGCGAGAGCAGGGAGCTGGGCAGCGCTCAGCTTTCGACTGGCTTCGGGCCTCCTCCCCGGGGCTGTGGTTTAGCGCGCGTCTGTGGGCCTTTTTTCAAACACCGCCAGCCGACTGCAGATAGCTTCACGGGACAGTGGAGAAAGACGGGACCGGTCTTCGTGTAATAACCTTATCTGAAATTCAGCCAGCCTTCAAAGCCAGCCGATACGCTTTTATTTATTCTTTCTCCTCTCCTTGAAAAGCGTCAGTGGGAGCGGGGTGGGGGTCTCCGTTATTTTTTTTAAATGACAGCACCGATATCACCTAATCGGTTTGGTGATAAAATCTGTAGAAGGTGGTTGTAAACCCTTTCTGATTTGTTCGGTTCTGCTACGGTGGAGAAATAGCTCTATTTGTCTGCTCCTCGCGGAAGAAAATGCAGACTGGGCAGGATTTTGTTGTTGTCAAATGAAACACCAAATTAAATAAATAAATGAATAAGACCCCGGGCAAAATGCAGATTCAGTCAAACATCTTTTGCATCAGATGCATGATCAGTTTAATAAGGGAGATCCAGCTAAATGCTTGGAGCGAGGGAGATGGTAGGAGAGAGGGCTAGAGAGGGAGTAGCAGGATGAGGCTTGATGTGTTTAGCTAGGCAGTTAGCTCTTTCAGCAGTTTTCTCCATAACTTGAAGGGTCGGTAGGATAGGGTTTGGTTTTGTTGTTAAAACTTATTAGTGTCAAATCTATTGATGCCTGGTAAAGATTACGCTAATGTGTAAGCCTTTGGGGGTTGTGTGTGTGTGTGCGTGCACGTGCGACAGTATTACTAGCAAATGCTGATCCTGACGGATTAAAGGGGAGGTCAACAACATACATCACTTAACTCTGTGGCCAAGGCTGGTCGTCTTAAAACGCTTGTCAATGGATGGATGGCACCTGATGACAAAAGTGTCAGGCATCCAAGTGTTAATGACTTAATCACTGCCTTCCATTCCCCCTTTTTATAGTCCCTCTGGAAATAATACATGTGCCTTCTGCTGTACTCGACACAGCTCTTTTCTTTGGCCTGACGCTATTGCTATATAGTGACACCTCCCAGTGGCACTCGGCAACATTTCACTGAAGGCCATACAGAACTGCTCTTTGGCAGGTTTATGAAAACAAGTGCTTTATTTGTGCAAATGAAGCCTTATAAAATGTAATCTAGCTTTGTGGGTACCTTCTTTACAGAAATCGTACCATTCCTCCCTCCCCCAAATATTTGTGCCCCCTATTAATTAATAATTAAAAGCAAATAAGTACTTTCTAATTCTGTCTTCAACAATTTGGCATTATGGTGCAAGTTCCCCAAACGTAATGACGTCCTGTGGCTCAAGAAAGCAATGTCCTGTTCCAGATGTTGCTGCTGTTGTTAATGGGTTCGTGTTGTGGGAGCAATCTCACTGGTCTGTTGGTGTAATGGGGTGCAACACCTGCTAGCAATGTCCAGGGACTCCACAGACCTGGAATATACAACTCAAACGTGTCTCACTCTCTTAAATCGGGAAAAAACAGGATTTGGGCAGATTCACGTACAGTCTAATTATGCTAAATTACCAGGTTCCCCACCATCAGCAGAGCTACCTCCCCTCATCTCTGTGTTCAGTGGTCTCAATTTACCTCAGCTTAAAACTTTCCTCTTTTAATGGCTTTCCCTGAGGTATAGGTACCACTACTTACTGTGTGGATGAGTATTTGTATGGTAGCGCACACATTGGAGCATCTCTGCAGATATTACTTCCTAAGTCATTGCAAGCCCGTTGTGGGTGCGCCCTTAACTAGAAACAGTCTGTGAAGCCACTTTTGTTTTGTATAATAGGGACTTTTTTGGTTCAACTGAGCTCAATTCTAAGTTTTTGTGTATGTCAAAAATATGTTCTCAGCTAAATAAAGGTGTAATTATAAAACAATTAAATTAAAGGGACGCAGACCCTGGGACAGGCAGACCGGGCTATTTTTCTTTAGCAGCTCATTTTGGGTTCAGCAGGAATGGGATAGGTTCTGTCCTCCTGGGGAAGTGGAACTGATGTATAGTGAACGCAGCCAGGCTCTGATGATAGCTATTCTGGAGTAGCTGCCTTTGTGGACTGTCTTCCAGAACAAATAGGGATTTTAGAAATGATTAACATTGTGCTTCTTGGATAAATCTACTTTTGTTATGGAATAGAGAGTCCTCATGGGAAACTACACAAAATGGCCAGAGAGAAATACCATGTGCTCGTCAAATTCCCCATATTAAAAAAAGCCTTTGAAATCAGTTTGCTCCAAACCAAGCAAGAACTGCATCTCAGTTTAACGTGAAGGGTTTGTACCATGACTACCTACCATTTAATAATGCATCTTTATGTTTTTGATCTGTGGACCATCCCTTAATCACAACAAGAGATGCCTTACTCTTCCAGTCGTTGTGCTAAAGTCATACCCATGGCAAAAACGGTGGGGCCAGTCTGGAGTAAGATAAGGCACATAAGAGAGCTATCAGAATTTGATCAATGACATTAAGAAAAGAGATAGGCAAAATATGAAACACAAGGCTGCAGGGTCCTCTGTCTGGCTCAAGCCAGCGAGTGCAAAGAAATTCAGACTTGCCGTCAGCTAAAGCTCCAGCACAGCCCTTTGACATGACTATGTAATGCAGCAAATCTGTTTCTCGTCATCTGACGCTCCACCGAGACCTCTTGCTATGCTTAGCTGAGAGCTTTGAACGTCCTTGCTTTTGTTGGCCTCTTGCGAAGTCCCTCAAAAACACAGTTGATCTGATATTTTACTCTGCTGTTGCCAACTATCCTGGTTGTTGTTGGATAGCAGAGAGCTAGTAGCAGCTGGTGTAACGGTGGATTTTGTATTAATGCAGTCAGGATAGCAGAGCAGCGGTTGTGCTGCCTGTGCAACCCCTGGCAGGGCATGGGCAGGACGAAGGGAGGACCACTGTGCTCTGCTGGTGTCCGAGGAAAAGGGCAGCATGGAGGAAGAACTCTACTTCATAGCCATCCTTGTGCAGTCGGAGCCCCAGCTGCGGTCCTCTTACTCCTTGGGTCTCTGAGGCAGTTTCCTCACCCCCTACACAGTGGCCTCTGGAGTTTTTTTAATGCTGGGTGCCAAATAGGAAGCCAGGTGCCTGTCCTGATGCTGGTGGCTTTGGGGCGTCTCAGCTAGTGAGTGCTAGAGATGCTCTCAGTTTCGCCCCCGGCAGATCTGTGCTCACTTTCATAAATGAGCAGTAAATGAGGAACGGAGTCATCCTCTCCCCTGTTGAAGTCTTCGTGTCTGGCCTTTGGATGCCTTTTATAGCTCGTAGTTTGGGAGAGCTTCCACTCACCTAAAGCGGGGATGCGTGGGTTGGCACGAACCTGAGGGTGACACGTGGGCAGTAGTGGTGTCAGACCTGGGAGGAGGTGGCTGTGGATGGACGTCCCGAGGGCTTGCGCCTATGTTCTTTCCCCCCTGCGAAGCTATCAGAAAAGCACATGCTACCCATGTTCACCTCATGGTAAGGTAGAAGCACAGAAATAGTGGGGTGTGCAGGAGTCACCCTGGCTTTGGGCTGGACTCCAAAACCCAGTCGCAATTTCTCAACAGCGCAAGTGAAGCGCAAATGTCAGACATCGATAAGATGGAGGAAACAAATGTTTTTGCAAACTGGGAGAAAGGAGAACTCCATGGAAATGCTTCGTTCCCCTTCTTACGTGATTACATCCACAAGTAGTCAGGAGGAAACTGTGATTTACCTTTTGAGTGCACAGTAAATCACTGTGAGAACCAGCACCCTGTCTGTGTTGTACTCACCAGGAATGGCCTCTGGCCACCAGCAACTGCAACTGCCAAAGTTTTCTGTCTCTGAAAGACTCCTCACCAGCAATTTGGGCTTGGGTGATGAATTTTAAAATGCACTTGTGCTGTAAAGCCTGCTCGGAGCATACGCTGTCAAACAACCAGCCTGTGGCTGGAGGAGATGATAGCAGGCCCTGGCCGGCCACAGAAGCAAGGGCACCGCCGCCCGACCTGCAACAGCTGGCGGGCCGGTGGCACCCATGCGTGCGTGCCTCACTGGGCTTGGAAAAGTGCTAAAGGAATGAAGGCTTGATATTTTGGGAGGGGGATGTGTGCTCAACACCATAAAGACACCCAGGGATGGACGTGTTGACTTCGCTGAGTGTCGTGTTCTCCATCAT